ACGAAGCGTTTCCGAACCTATATCCATAGGAACTTTTTTAATTATTTTCATGAATACTATCTGCCCTTGAAGTTTGTAACCTTATTTTACACCCTGTACTGTCTTATTAGAACTCAGTTATCTTTCCATTCAATCCTATTCTGTTAATTATATCTCACGATATTTCCTCAAATGTTAATGACTTTTTAATTGAATTTTGAAAAGAAGAATTTTAATTCAATATGTAATTATTGTAACTATGTATATTTTCTCCAATTCAGTATTTGAATCTACTTCATTTCCTCCTCTATCAATTAAACATCAATTTGATTATCAAACATCCGTTATCCTGTTACAAAATAATCATCTCTGGATCAAATTGACAAGATAGTTAGAAGCACGAATGCATAATGGTGGTATTCAAGCTCTCCAAGATGACGGGGCCGATGCAAAACAGCTTGTTTATATTCTACGATATACAGGAAGTCAGTGGTACGGTTTATTCAAATTTAGTACCGTGAAAAAACGGCATTAAACCTAGGTACCTCTCGAGGTACCATCGGGCCGGTCGTTAGCGCTACCTATATCGCCGTCGTACATACCAATTTATTTTTTGAATTTTGCGTGTTGGATTTAATTTAATAATCTCAATCGTTGGCTATTATTCGAAAAATCGATACCATCGACATGTTTCTTATATAAAGGAGACTGACGTCCAATTATTAATCAATGACTGCGAGATTTCTATCGGCTGTCAATGGTTAAAGGGACTTATAAATCAGCCTGGCGGATTTTTTGCATATTGGTAAATATGATATCGAGATAACGAGTCTACATTCTTAGTTGGAAGCGTCCAGGTGGTACTGGCTATAATTTGATGTATTTGAATACTTGTTCCTGCATTGAAAGTGATGTCATTATTGCTGACTAACAAATCTTTTTTTTTTTTAATGGTATTTGATTTACATAATAATTTTTTTATTACGCATGCATGATAATGAACGATTATCGCACACTGCAGCGTGCATAAAATGTTTATGATGCGCCTACCTTTCCAAAGTTTTGCTATAGAAACGTTTGATCTACCTTTATTACCTAGATACTTACTTGCCCTTCAAATTACTATTATTCATGACTAATGTCACTCCCAGGCCAGGGAATAATGACGAGTAGCGGGATTAATGGTCATTATTCCTCAAAAGTGTCAGTATTAAACGTGTAGTGCTTGTGGATTTGTATTGAAATGAATGAAATTTTCTATTAAAAATCTCAAATAAATTAATTTGTCGTAAATAAAGTAGAGTATACTACCCTCGAAATGTTACTCCTTCGCCGCTAACGCGGCTCAGTTCGTAAATATTCCTCGGGAATAATAGCTATCATTATTGACTCGTGGTATAATCTACTATTTATCAAAATGAATGAGAACACATTTAAAACATTTTTGACATTATGATGCATTTGTAATAAAAAATAGCGTATGATATGCGTGTATAAGAGGGCCTTTAAAGCCCTTGCGACTTACAAAACACTCCGCTGCGCGTCGTGTTTTGAAATACGTCGCGCGTGCTTTAAGGGCCCTGTTAAACAATCATATCATAATATAATCATATCATAATATACTAATAACATTATATTTAAGTATTTACCAGTGGTTTTGGAAATCCTAGCTTCAGTTTTTCTAATGCTATTAGATTAGATACATGATTACCTAATAAAAGTTTCTAATAGATCAGTCACTATTACTTACCTAGTGTCAGAGTATGAAAATTAACGAAAAAATAATGAAATTCCCCCATTAGATGTGGAAGAAGATATACAATAATATACGTTCAAAATTTACAAGAATTGTTGCCGCAGCTTTTGGAAGACGGGAAAGTCGACCTAAATCTATAACGACAAACCTTTTAGATCAGCATTAAGAACGTTCCAAAGCCTGAAAAATTTTAGTTTGAAAAGGTTGAATGGGAAAAAGGGTTGAAACACTATGAAAGGTACCGCGGCGCAATTAAATGAGATATTTCTAATGAGAAAAGAAGAAAAAAATTGTTTTGATGATTTGCAGACAAAAGAAGAGGATTCTCAAATATGTAGAAGTCTTATTGACAATTTTAAGAAGACTGTTTATTTAATATAAACGGGCTAAATTCAATTGAAGAAATCAAATCAAAGGAGAAACTTCTCAAGATTACATTAAGGAAATAATTAAAAAAAATAAAATTATGGAATTATAGGAAATCGTCTTGTGGTTGCAATTTTTTGACAAAAATCTTTCAGAATCCTGAAAGTTGAATGTATTATTGAGGCTTAAATCAACATCAATAATAACAAGAATCAATCAGGCTGAATGTATTAAAAAACAAAAACAAAATTTAACAAATTCAAGAAGTATGAAAAGAAGGGAGTGAATTCTGCGCCTACCGGTAGGTCCTGTTTGTTTCATTCATTGTGTGCCTATCGTATGTATAACGCTAAAACATTATGGAAGGTCCCCAATTACCACATGATATAACGCCTATCGGTAGGTACTGTTTGTAAAAAAAATCCTGAACCTACCGGTAGGTTCATATTCATTTAAGAATCCTGCGCCTACCTACTTTTTATTAACCTACCTAACCTAACAATCTATAATAACATAAACTACAAAAAGAAGTACCTGCTGCATCTCTGTGATTTTTCTTTAAGTTTGTTTTTTTCATAGTTTTATAGTGTAGGTAAGTGATAAATCATAAACTTAAGCTAGTTCTATCATCGAGATAACTACAGAGCCGGATTTATGGCGGAGCAGCCGGGGTCCTGGAGCCTCCACAAATTCAGGGCCTAGAGTAACTTCAAAATTTAGTCCCCCAGCAGGCCTTAGGAAATATTTTTATTGATTAAAAGTGCATCCACTTTCTTCGACGCCTTTAAATCCGGTTCTGTATAACTACAGAGTCTTCTAGCTACCTGGAATGCAGAAATAATTATATAATAATTTTTAGGCGATTGCAACACAATGTCCACAGTTATAAGTACTGGAATAGAGTTAGGACAAGAGTATAGTTCCTTTAAGGATCTTAAATCCGATATAGATAGATATGCAATGCAACATTTAGTTCAACTCTACATGCGAGATAGCTTAACTTTGAAAGCGGCACAAAAATCAAAGCCCCACAGAGTAAATGAGGACACCCTGTGCACCAGTAGGTATAGTTGCAGAAATAAAATTATTGAGCCAAATTCGAGTAGATATAAGACAAAAAAAAAATTAATTGAATGGGTTGAAAAATGGAAATTTTCGAAGGGTGGTTAGTCCTTAAGCGGGACACACTGTATATCTTGTGACATCGTTATAACTAATTAAAAATAGGCACCTGATATATGGAAATAATAATAAAAATTGTAACAATGAAATTTCGACACGTCAAATTTATTAACGGGACAACGTTAACAACTTCATTGTTTCCATGAGTTTTTGATATTTTTATAAAAATGCAAATTTTGTACCTATTTAATTAGCTAAGATAAAGTATGTCAAACAGGGCTCCAGCTCAACCAAAATGTCATCCATATACCTACAATATACGTATATTTTTGAAATCAGGAAAAGAAAATCTTTTATTTTAGAGCATAAGATACACGGTCAAGTACTATATTTAAAAAAAGACTTTGCATGTTTTTGGTGCATTTACGCATCCAAGGATCTTCTTTTTGAGATTTGGCGAGCGCAGAGCGAGCAATCGGAGACTCAAAAATGATTCACAAGAAGGTTGAAAAAAGGTTTTCCACGTTTTTGGGTTATTCACGCTTCCAAGAATCTCTTCTCTCAAGTTTGTCGAGCGGAGCGAGCAATCAGAGACTTAAAAATAATTTAAATTTCAAGCCGTTATATTTAATAAAGGTTTTTCACGTTTCTGGTGGAAGGTTTTTCCCGTTTTTGGTGGATTTACATTTCTGAAGACATTCTCTTTGAGGTTTGGCGAGCGTAGCGAGCAATCGAAGGTATAAAGATAACTTCAAGGTGCGTGCCAGAAGGATTTTGAATAGGTTGCCGTCTGGAATGAAACAGAGCAGATTCCAAACATCAACAAGTTTAAAGCCCAAGATAGAAAGATGTTAGGTACTAATAGAGGCCTATTACTCAGTGGACGAATTTCTTAATGTCAATTCTACAAAAAAACAAAGTTTCACTAAAGTATTTAGCAACAGCTGACTGGTAGGACATAGGTACGAATTCTAAAGTAATAACAAACTTTCCAGTAGGCGCTCGATCAATTGACAAAAGAGGACCTACCAGTAGGCGCACAATCGGTAGATGAAAAAGAACCTACTGGTAGGCGTATGATTGTTGGATAACAAAGGACCTACCGGTAGGCGTAGGATTCACACCCTGAAAAGAATTTATAAAATTCAAGATCTGGCATTAGAGGACATCACGCAAAGTCGCAAAATATTGTAGAACAAGAAGTATTAAGGGAGCAGTAATACCAACAAGTCAGGTTGATTGGTGGGTTGGTTGTAGGGGGCATCAGGGCGCTGTGACCTTTCACGCACTGCAGCCTGTTGGCTTATTATGCACCCCAATTTTCTTTTTGCAATAGTAATAATAATAATAGTAATAATATTAATAATAATAATAGCTTTATTACCCAACAGAGTTACCCATTTACAGAGCAATTTCATTCAAAAATAAGCACAAAATAATAGTACATTATAGTAACCCATAAAATTATTAAATAGCAGCAAACACACCCAAAGCAACTGACTGCAAACACCTGAGAGTACAGTTGAAGATATCACATTCCCAATCAACTCTATTGAAATTACTACACATTATAGTTATTGGAGATCTCAGGAGAATATTGGTTTTTCCTCTAGTACAATAAAATGTTACGTAAGAAGTCTAAAGCTGTACAAGTTCAGACATCTGGTATTGAAATTGAACATTTAGGTTGTATAGAATCTTCATTGCAACAATGGAATAAGCAGAGTGTACAAGCTTTATTGCACATTGCTACGGCTACAAGAAGGAAGTTCACAACATGTCAGATGTTCGATACAGAGTGTGTTTATCTAAGAAAATTACTCCTGAAATTAAGAAACTCCCTCCGACAACAGAGGCATTTGAACTACATATAAAACGATGCCATTTGCAAGCTTGTATCTGGAAAGCAGCAGCATCTCCGTTCCCTCCACCTCCGAACTGACCAACTGACTATGGATGAGCAGAGAATGGAGCAATACACTCTTTAGTACCCATACAACTTCCAAGTAACAAGTAACAAAGGGTTGGTACCACCAGAATTGCTGACAAGTTTTAAGATGTAGCTGTTCAAGTGAGAGTGAGAAGCACATGTAGGTCTGACTTGTAAAGAATTTTGCGCGTATGAAGGCGGCCAATTCTGCAGCAATTTGAAAACTCGCGAAGCTCAGCTTGATGGCAGCGACAGTGAAATGTCTACTTCCGACTCTGAATATTCTATTATCTGATGTGTATTCTGTAAATATTCTGTAGTTAAACTTGAATAAAACTAGATACTTTTTATCCATACTTATATTGCTTTTTTTTACCTATACTAGGTCATGAGCGAGCTTCGCGCGCTTTTTTTTTAAATCAAGTCCATCAAAATAATTATAAAATGGAAAATATTTATTAGGTGTTGTACAAAAAACAGCATTATTTTTGATTTAAATGTACATTATACGTTAAACGCTGTGTCTAGCCTCCCGGCACCGGTATTCATACGAATCCTGGCTATAGCCCGTTTTAAATGACGTCATCAACAACAACCGGTAACTTTCGTGGATCCCGGCTAGTGCTATACAAGATGTTAATAACTATTATGTTCATTGGTATTGGGGCAGATTTATTATGAAGAGTAAAAAAAGTAAACAAAGATGAGCTTTTATTAATGGAAAATAAAATTATGACTTTTTATTATAATATATAGGTACAGGGTCATTTTGTAAGTTTGTTCAGCATTTGATCTTGTACAGCAACGCCGTTAATGTTCAGCAACATTACACAGGGTGCCCCAAAATTAGAGGTTAATATTTTAACTGCGGATTCTACATCTCAAATTGAGAGCAAAAATTCCTATAAACATGGGTCCAAGAGTACGCTATTTCAGAGATACAGGCTGTTAAAAAAGCTATAGTCCTGAATAATGGATGAAAATAAACCATACTACTATTCCCTTTTTGAACCACTACTACGAAAAGTGGATTAACGAAGTACCTACTAACCACTCTAATACCAATATCACAACCAGAAACAATAATACACAAAAGCTATTCCAGAATTAATCACAGCTTCAAGCAGCAAGAGAAACACGACTTTGAATTTTGAATCCAATAGCCGGGATCCACGATAAATCCCGGCGGTCGTTGATGGAGTCATCGAAAACGCGTCATAACCGGGATTCGTATGAATACCGGTGCCGGGAGGCTAGACACAGAGTACATTAAATGTAACAGTGAGATAAGTTGTATAGATGTTATTTTAGTGAAGAAATTTCAAATGCGATGGATGGAGTTGGTGACTAATTATTTTTGTATGGTATATCATAATGATTTTAAATCGATCACATTTCTTGAATGTACGGTGTGCGTATGTCTACTTATCTCATTCTGTTTTATGGAACTCGTAGGTATACATTTTCCGAAGTGGTTTAATTAAAACAGAATAATCATAACCATAATCAAGGTGTTATTATAAACCGAGTTATTAACTATTTATGTGCTGTGGTATAATACGAGATATCGAGTCTTAAATTTTACAAAACTATCCAAGAAAATCATGTAATTACAATAGCAATAGATATAGTTTCACTCAATACATAAGTTGGGTACCTATTATTAGCTCTGTTTCACCCGACATAAGAACCGTTTCTAGTCGATCAATTCATTTGTCAATTAGGACAAACGTTCAACTTATTGAAAAATAGGTGGGCAACTGGAAATTACCGTTCTAGAACGGTTCTGATGTCGGTTGGCACAGAGCTTATAGTTGAATCAAATCCAAAGTAATGACATTAAATAACCTAAATTGTAAACAAACACCAGCTGGTAATCCAGCCTTCCTATTGGTTGAATCGCTCTACCAGTACCAGTACGCATGCACGGAGGACATTTGATAGGTTGTAATAAAAATCACCAGTTAAGACGGGTATTATAAAACTATTTTGACGGAAACCTAAGAGTTAACTTCTTTATTTTCATAGTAATTCCAACTTCTAGTTTTCTGTCAAAATGAACTACGCATCAATCGAACTCGGACACCTCAATGTTTGGTCACTTTTTGTAAGACTATAACTCAAAATCTAGCAGGCCGATTTTGTTCAAATTTCCTTTCCCTGAAAGGATGCTCCAATTGCTATTTAATTTCCAGTTGCGAACAGATTTCGGCCACCTGCTAATTTTTTTGCGAAAGTTTGGGTTCACCCCATTCTGCTGGAGGGAGGGTTGAGTAGATTTTTGGTAGAAGAGTGGCTTAGTACCTCGGGACATTTTTGAGATTTGAGAATAATCATAACCATAATCAAGGTGTTATTATAAACCGAGTTATTAACTATTTATGTGCTGTGGTATAATACGAGATATCGAGTCTTAAATTTTTTTTTTACATTTTCATGAAGTTCCTTTTTTTTTATTAGGCCAGTTATTGAAGTCTACTCGTCTAAACAATCGAAAAAATTTTTTTTTTTAAAGATTTTAAATTCAATTGCTCAATTATTCAACTTACATTTTTTGTTTGTACCTACGTGGTAGACATAAATTTTAAATGTGATCAAAGTAGTTGGTGAATTATTACTTTTGCGGTGCATCGTAATGATTTTAAATCGATCTTATTTTTTGAATATACGGTGTGCATATGTCCAGTGCATCTTATTCTGTTTTATGGAACTCGTAAGAATCCAAAGTTTAAAGAGTGCTAAGTCTTCATGTCGTTCTTCGTTATTTTCAATCATTTATGTTTATCGTGTTCAGGTTTTTGTCTTGTGATCTTCAAATATCATGTAAATAAGTTGTAAAGATCTTCTGAAATCACCTATGACTGCAAAATTTCAAAATTAAATTATCAAAAAAACAATTTTTTAAAAACATGGTTTTTGACAACACTATTGCTTCTTTGTTTCCCTGAATAAATTTTCAATGAGTCCCACGAACGAACTCTGAAAAGCACCACATAAAGTTGTCCGTGACTAAATACATCCTTTCTCGAGATCAATTACTATCCTATCAAAGGTTTGTCCTTGAGATTTGTTAATCGTCATTCATTGCAAAGGCTAATTTTATTTTAAAATTGTCTTCGTTTGAACGTAAAGGGGTAGACGTTTTCGCAGTAGAGTGTTATTCGATTTATGAACACTATTTCTCCCTGTTTATCTACAGTCAATATCTCACAGCGTAACAGATTATCCCCAAGTTCCAGAACTAAAGGCCTTGTACCATTGCAAAGACCTGCACTGATGCTTAGATTTCTAATAAGCATACAATAGAATTCGTTTTCAATCGTAATTCATGGAGCAGGAATTCGGCGGATTAAGCAAATTTAAATATTTTGGAAGAATAGCATCATTTAGATGACTATTATCACAGTTCTCGACACTATCTATACTGGTGTGGAGTTTTTCGGTCTTGACGTCCAACAGTTCGACAACTTATTCGTTTATTTCTTCGACATCAACATTTCTTGCAGAAAGTATTGCAGATTTGGTCAAGTCCCTGAATCTTCCTTCTTTTAGTATTGTTCGTCGACTTTTCGTATGAGGAGCGAGGGGGTGAAGTATATGGCAAAAACCAGGGGTGACGTTAGGTGACCATTGGCGTTCAAATGTAGGGTGCCACCTCGGGTGCCACCAGCTCACATTCCTTTCGAGTATTGGATTAAAATCGACGGACTTTACTTCTCCATAGATGTTTTCAACAATATCCGAATTATCAATACATTTCTCCGACAATTTTAGATTGTCGTTAGAATCATTTAGTGTTCGTTATCGCATAAAAATGGCTCAATTTCAGCAATAAGTGCTTAATGTTGGCCTTTAAGGCGGCAACCGTTCGAGGTTTGTCAACATAGACTTTGGATTTTAGAATGCCCAGAAAAAAAAATCCAGTGACGTTAGGTCTTCATAAATTGCACGGAGTACACGAAACGTTTTCCGAATAGAACATTGGTTTTGATAATGATAATAATTTTTAACAATTCCGACGCGTTGCTCAATCGTGTAGCGCTCCATAATAAAATGCAGAGACTAATTGAATACGGCTGCCAAAGATAGCACCTGTTTGACTATTGAGTTTTTCATGGGCTATTGCACTGCCTCCTATACTTAACAAGCCATGAAGTTGGAAATGACGGCAACGTCGCGTATGGTGCTATTTTGTTCTTGGGTTATGTGTTACTGTGTATTGGTTTCATTGTGTATTGTTGCAGTTTAGTATTTTTGTGGGCATTATTGACGAAAAAGTGGATAGAAACACACCAATATATTGCCCATATTTAGTTGATACCTGTTCCTTTGTGCTTTGATTGCAATTTTTTAGCAAATGGGTACAGGAGCAAAAATGAAGGTAAGGTGAGATAAAACAATAAAAACAATATTAATATTTGTCTGCAAGAGCATATGTCTCGATATATTACCTAAGATATTTAAACTTGTTCCAGATGCCATGAAACTACTGTGTTCCTGGGTGCAAATCGAACTATTAGGAGTTCCTTAAAAACTGAAGAAATGCAAACATTTTCATTTCCAAAAAAATTCTGAATTGCAAAAAATGTGGATGAAAGCAATACACCAAGATAATTATACCCGAGATTATACAATAACGAAAAATTCTGTGGTGTGTTGTAAACATTTTGAAGAAACCGAAATAATTAGATTTGAAACAAACAAGGATAAAGGCGTAGTTCGAGAGTTCAAACTGAAACGTCCAACTCTTAAAAGTAGGTACCTCTTATTTTCGAAAATCAGCTGAAGTATTTGAATGGACCTGCCTTCCGAAAAAATCCCAAAGAAAGAAAAAGTTAGATTTTTCAAAAGACATACTGAAACATAGGCCTATAACACTTTAGACTCTAGAAATATATTCATTTAAATCAATTATTTACTGTTCTTATTCACACAAATAGTTATATTATTCATTGAATTACTGTTTTTGGCCCTTTAGTACAATAAATTATGTATTTTTCGTGTTTCATATT